ACAAGTTTCGCACATGGGCGTGGCAAAATGACTCGCTAGCGCCACCTAGAAAATTGGAAATGATTAGCCCCTCGTTCACGTTCAACCTACATGTACGAAATTTTCTGGGGACATGTATCGTATCAAGACGCACAAAAAAGCCTCAAGAACCCATAGCCTAAAGTCAACAGGAAGTCGGCCATTTTGAATTTTATGGCCATTTTGGATGATTTACATACTTCGTACTTTAACGAACTCCTCCTAGGGATTTAGTCGGATCGACCTCAAATTTTGCTGTGCCTTCTAAAGGCATTGACGATGAAAAGTTGTGCTATTTGCGCGTTTTCGTCAATGGGCGTGTCCGTGGCGTCGATGATTCGCAATGAAACAGGAAGTTGTTGTAACTTCAGTGTACATGCTCACATCCGGACCAAACTGTACATGTAGGATGAGAGTCCCGCCCTGAACACATGTACATGCCGACATTCACCCACAGTCATAGCGCCACCTGCTGGCAACAGAAAGTGACCTTTAACGAAGCAGCCCCCGCCGCACGTTTCACCTACGTGCACGAATTTTCTGTGGTACGTGTATCTTGTCCAGACGCACAAAAAAGTCTCTTGGAGCCATAGCCTAAACCCAACAGGAAGTCGGCCATTTTGAATTTTACGTCAAATTTTGGATGATTTACACACTTCGTACTTTAACGAACTCCTCCTAGGGATTTAGTCCGACCGACCTCAAATTTGTGCTGTGCCTTCTAAAGGCATTGAAGATGAAAAGTTGTGCTATTTGCAAGTTTTCGTCAATGGGCGTGTCCGTGGCGTGGCGTCAAAGATCAGCTCTTCGCCATGACACGGAAGTTGTCGTAACTTCAGTGTACATGCTCACATCTGGACCAAACTGTACATGTAGGATGAGAGTCCCGCCCTGAACACATGTACATGCTGACATTCACCCACAGTCATAGCGCCACCTGCTGGCAACAGGAAGTGACTTTTAACGAAGCAGCCCCCGCCGCACGTTTTACCTACGTGCACGAATTTTCTGTGGTACGTGTATCTTGTCCAGACGCACAAAAAAGTCTCTTGGAGCCATAGCCTAAACCCAACAGGAAGTCGGCCATTTTGAATTTTACGTCAAATTTTGGATGATTTACACACTTCGTACTTTAACGAACTCCTCCTAGGGATTTAGTCCGACCGACCTCAAATTTGTGCTGTGCCTTCTAAAGGCATTGAAGATGAAAAGTTGTGCTATTTGCAAGTTTTCGTCAATGGGCGCGTCCGTGGCGTGGCGTCAAAGATCAACTCTTCGCCATGACACGGAAGTTGTCGTAACTTCAGTGTACATGCTCACATCTGGACCAAACTGTACATGTAGGATGAGAGTCCCGCCCTGAACACATGTACATGCTGACATTCACAGACAGTCATAGCGCCACCTGCTGGCAACAGGAAGTGACTTTTAACAAAGCAGCCCCCGCCGCACGTTTTACCTACGTGCACGAATTTTCTGTGGTACGTGTATCTTGTCCAGACGCACAAAAAAGCCTCTTGGAGCGATGCCCTAAAATCAACAGGAAGTAGGCCATTTTGAATTTTACGTCAAATTTTGGATGATTTACACACTTCGTACTTTAACGAACTCCTCCTAGGGATTTAGTCCGACCGACTTCAAATTTTTGCTGTGCCTTCTAAAGGCATTGAAGATGAAAAGTTGTGCTATTTGCGAGTTTTCGTCAATGGGTGTGTCCGTGGCGTGGCGTCAGAGATCAAGTCTTCGCCATGACACAGGAAGTTGTTGTAACTTCAGTGTACATGCTCACATCTGAACCAAACTTTACGTGCTTGATAACTCTCCCACCCCGTTATGGAGGACCGATCCTGACACAGTCAGAAATAAATACAGAAATAAATAAATGCTCAATAAATAAATAAGCATCCAATTAAATACACAAAAAATAAAGTAAATAAATAAATGTAGGTAGTAATTAAATTATACAAGGAGACATAAATGTATATATTTTAATTAGTGCCTTTACTATTCACCTTTGTTATAATTACCTTATTTGTTTATTCAACTTTATTTATTACAAATTTTTTTAATGTATTTATTTATGTGTGTGTTTTAATATTTTTGTCTGTTTTATTCTTCCTTTGTATTTATTTACCTTATTTATTTTCACCCATGGTATTTATTTCTGCCTGTCTTTTTTAAATTTTTGTATGCATTTCTGCCTCATTATGCAAATGAGGAGGGGCTGTGTCTCAAGGGGTCATCTTCTCTGCTATTGGTGGACCAGTCAGACAGGAGAGCTCCTACTCTGCCTGCAGACATCAACGATCTTGCCCCTCACACAGTCAGATGGCTTCCTTCAGTGCGCTGAGGTGTTTAACAACTCTGAAGACAATACTACCAGCAATGTCTTCCTTCTCTTTCACGTAGACGCTCCGACAGACGGTGCTTTCAGTTTGCTGCATGCATGGACACAGAACTGCGGTACAGCACACAGTAACGATGAAATGTGTGCTGTTCTCACATTCTTCCTCTGTATGTACACATAAACAACAAGGCAGGGAAATATAAAAGGAATTTATTTTATTGTTTGGGTACATTATTGTTCAGTGTACATGCTCACATCTGAAACAAACTTTACGTGCTTGATAACTCTCCCACCCCGCAGACATCTACACGCCAACACCGATTTATATTCATAGCGGCAAGTGCTATGTAGCTCCACATAGGGGACACAGGAAGTGACATATAACACCTTCATGCGGCGTCATAACCGCGTAGCAAATTCACAGCCGCACCGGCAGAGCTCCAGAATATGCAACTCGGCCGGCTCACACGCGGACGCGCTTATAAGTGCGAGGGCCCGCCCAACGCTGCTTGCAGCTTTAATTCAGTTTTTCTTTTTTAATAAATTTGCAAAAATTTCTACATTTCTGTTTTTTTCTGTCAAGATGGGGTGCTGAGTGTACATTACTGAGAAATAAAATGAACTTTTTAGATTTTTGGAAAATGGCTGCAATGAAACAGAGTGAAAAATTTAAAGGGGTCTGAATACTTTCCGTACCCACTGTATAACTAGGCCTATACTGTGTGTATATATATGTATAACTACATGTAGGCCTACACACACACACACACACACACACACACAGTATAGGCCTAGTTTATATTCAACTAACGTCATTCCACAGTAGCAATAGAAGACTAAAAACCTGTGTGTGTGCAGAGAGAGCTACATCAGACACACAGAAACTCTCCTACTTGCTGTCATATCATTACAGCTAAATGTATTTCCTCATGCAACAAACGGAGAACCACTGTTGTTTGAATAAAGTTACTTAATTATCACATTATTAATTAATTATATATATTTTATTGTTTATATGTGAATTTGTGCTCTGGCAACATTGCAACCTAAACATTGATGGCAATCGGCGAGAAAGAGAGAGCGAGAAAGACAGAGAGAGAGACAGAGATCTCTCATCTCATGGAAACGAGTTTCTGCCACTACATTTCAAAGTTTCCTCCTCACTAGTCCAGGCAACAACTATCACAATAGTGACAATAGCGTCAATTCCACTGCAGCAAAGTCGCAGACATCAGCACCGGGAACGCTACGTGATGTCACTGGGCGTCACTCACTGATCCTTCAGAAATGCTTGGGAAAATGTAGCGTGTGTGGAAGATACCGCGCTACTCGGTCAATAAAAGAGCTTTGTTACCGAAAAGCTATTTGATTCAGAAAATAGCGTCGCTACCACCAAGCTACTGAGAAATGTAGTTAAACAAGTAACGGCACTACTAGCGACGCTACTGCCCAACACTGGTTTCGGTTTCGACCTACATGCAGCGCACTTGAAAACTGAATCACGTGAGTTTATTAAACACGGTGACTTTATGAAACATACTGCTGATGGAGAAAGTCAGCAGAGACACAGAGGGAGAGAGAGACAGGAAGAGGCGGAGCATGTGTTTCCTGTGAGAGACCAGAGGTGCAGGCTAGGTGTGTGCGTGTGTGTGAGTGTGAAATGAGTAGATTCAGAGGTGGAAAATGACCTAGAATAACCTACTGTCAATACAAACACGACATACACCGCAATTGCTCCCACCAGCCACGGCTATTGAAAAAATGTTAAGAATTTTAATCTGCCATTTGGCGACCTAATGAAAATGGGCCTTATGGCTATGTGTTAACTACTCTCTTGAAAAAAAGATAATCTCAGGAGACCACAGTGAAATTAATAAACAGAGAACTCTTCCTCAGAAATAATGTTTTTAAACACCTATTACTGTATTTCTCAGCATTGAGGAGACTATTCATTCTGACCAAATCTCCAACTCTGCAGAAATGCAGCTCCAAACTTTCAAGGAACCTCCACCATGCCATTGCCTGCAGACACTCATTCTTACACTGCTCTCTAAATGTTGACTCATCAGTCCAGATCACCTGCTGCCATTTTTCTAGTTGAGTTGCGCGCCCTTGTTTCCATGTTGGAGGCTTTTTGGCCGCAAGTCTGCCATGAAGACCTGATCGCACTGCTGGACCTCTTCCGATTCTGCAGGAAGTTTCTTTGGTGCCCCTTTCTCTGTGCTTTGTTCTTAAAAAGAGCTGGGAATCTGAAAACCTGGTGTATGACATTTGACAGTAAACTGTCTTCAGCAGCCTCACCTTGTTAGCTGAGTTTGGCTGTTCCTCACCCAGTTGTATTCCTCCTACACAGCTGTTTCTGTTTCAACCTACATTTGGAATTGGTGATCACCTGCCTAAAACGTTTGCACAGTACTGTACATAGACATCTTGGACATGACGTCAGAACTTTTTCATATTCTGTAATATCCTACACACAAGTGTAAGAGGGTGTTTTTGATGCTTAATACACCAATTGGCAGGCTGGTTGCAGAACTGTCATGTAATTGCTAAGTAAGCTGAATATTTTGTGCGTGGCAGCCAAGGGTGCCTCAGAGAAAATAAAAACATGACAGAAAGAAAGAATCATTCATACCTTTGAGAAGGGCCCGGCAAACCTCCAAAGTCCATTAAAGCCAAAGCCTGTGAAATGAAAGGAAGGGAGAGAAAGGAACGTCACAGCTTTAGGAAAATTATAACCTATTTGTGTATACAGGTTATGTCCAATCTGTATGACTAGTGGAGTGAACATGCTTGGCCTGCACAGAATTTGAACATTTCAGTGTGTTTTACTTTGTAAATAGGAGGGCTGGTACTGGGGTGGCGACTCTTCATGGTACACCACACTCTGGACGATGCCATGGACAGGATTCAGTAGGTTGGTGTCCTGGCACATGGACAGCACAGTGTTGATCTTGGAGTCCAGCAGGTTGTGACTGAGGAGACACACAAAAACCTATTACTAAGTCTGTATAAATGGTCTACCGCTTGTACCGAGGGTTTGATAAAATGAGACTTTCTATTCTACCAGTATCTTTCTATTTTGACATTGTAGTTCAGCATAGGGTTCATCTTTCATCTGAATTTGATGCAGCAACCCGATAAGTCACAGGGATCTTTTAATACGACAGCGAGGTGAAAGTGGGTTTATATTTGGCTCTACAAATGTGCAGGCGTCACAGGAAGTCCACACTAACACTCAGAACGTTGACTCTTGAATTCAACAGTTACAGTAAATTTCACTGTAAAAATTCAGCATTCACAGTAATACAAAAATCTAAGCACAGAGCAGACATGTAGCAAAGCTGAGATGCTTCTCAAAGGAATACTTTGCAATTCTCATCCAATACACTTTTTGTTAAATTCAGCGATATTTCCTCATGGGTTGCTCGCTGTCTGTTTTTCGTGTGCTCTGAAAAAAATCGGGTATTCCTACACAGTCTGGGTCTGTAAAAGGAACACAAACAATGCTGCTTGGAGCGAGCAACCGGTGGCGGTAGCGCTCGTATTCGAAGGGGACGAACGGGACTCTGTAGCTGTAAAGATGACACAGGGAACGGTCTGAGGAATTGTGAAACAAGTTATATGACCAGGCGAGGGGAAGACATGTGAAGACATCTGTGAGGGGTTTCAATGCTGGATAAATCTACCAGATTTGAAAGGAATGAAAACCGATACTGAGGTTGCTCTGTTTCTGCTGGACAGGTGAGTAACATTAGCTTTGCTGTTCCACATAAACGACAGCTTCAGTATTACTGTCTTGTCTGTCATCATGTTTGTGATGATCCCAGCGGTTAGCTTTGCTAGCTTTTCGGTGAGTGTGTGATAGAGGAGGAATAGACGGAGCAAGGGTGTGAACGGGTGTCCTGGTGAATAGAGAGAAACGGGTCAGCAATAAGGCTTGTTCAGTAGTAAACGTACAGTATATGTTGCAGTGGCCGGTGAATCGTTGCTCAGAGCAACGACTGGTATGCTATGGGTCGGGACTGTGTGTGATAATGTTTTTGCTCTTTGTGTGCAAGCTGATTTTGGAATAAACGTTCTGTGCCTGTCTGAGTTAACTCAGCAATACCAAGCACACACTGTGCATCACTGCTGTTAGCCTGTTGGCTAACCTGCAGCTCGAGCTCACAGCAACAACTCATCTGTTCACTCAGAGGGCCCTTTTCACACACCTGCTTACAGAAAACTGTCATAATGAGCCAATGAGAGCGGACATTATGCTTCGTGTGGACACACCCAGTACAGATTTTCTTCTCTAAAGAAATCTGCCAGGCAGTGTGTGATACTGAATCGTGTATGCCGCTGCACACATTACACACGTTCCCCATGGCAGTGCCTGGCTACGGTCAAGGGGACCACCTTTTGTTTCACAGAAGGCAGCCTGCGTCATAATGAGCCCACAAAGCAGACACACACAACTTTGCGTGTATTGTAATAGGATACTATTACATATGTATGTATGTATGTATGTATGTATGTATATGATACTATATACAATGTTACTATTATATATATGTGGACTTAATTCTGCTCCAAAAGATCCGGTCCGGACAAAATGGGACTCATATTGACCAGACAACGGAATTCAGACACTGTTACAGAGACCTGCCCCATCAACATCCCGGATGAAGCACTCGGCAAGTGGTCCATGTCAGCGCAAGACTCGAGATGAGAGGAAGTGCACTCTGTGTTTTACATTGATGATGCTTAGTGCTCAAACGCAGCCAAGATGGACTCTGTTTCTCAGATGTCAGACTGTTTATTGTGAAGATGAAACAGATCATCATCTGGTTGCTGCGTTTCACATTCAGCCCAGATGCAAATTCAAAATACGCAATGTGGAATGTTCGGGGTTTATACGTGTATGTATATATGTATTTAAATAACTGTACATATTGTATTATTTTATATGTTACCATATTTTAATATAGGTCTACACTTAATTATATATTATGTGTGTAACATGAAGGAACTACAAATTGTTTGGTTATGCAGCCTTGTGCTGTATAATGACTAATAAATGGCCTTGTACCTTGTACTTTAAACCTTGTATTTGCCGCTCCACACTGCAGGCTCGTGCATTATCACGGCATCACCGACACAGTCCCTGCAGCTTCTCTCACAAGTGCTGCCTTCATCCCAATCTGGTCACTCAGATCTGGCGCAGGTTCGGCGTGGCAGAGGTGGATCTGTTCACCAACCAAGAAAAACCTCAGTGTGCCCTGTGGTTCTCACTGAGCTCACGGGACGCTCCCCTTACTGGGGGCTGATGCCTTTGCGCACCTACTGGGGGCTGATGCCTTTGCGCACCCTCTGCTGGCTGCTGTATGCCTTCCCCCCCCGTTTCAGCTGATCCTGTGTCTCCTGGACCGCCTGCAGGTAATCCTGGTCACTCTGGAGCGCACAAGTGTGTCGTGGTTTCCTTTCCTTCAGCGACTGCTGTCGTGGCTGCAGTGGAAACTTCCTTGGCACAAGGACACCCTCTCAGAGGCGTGGGGTGTGATCAGGAGCTACCCGCTTCTTGGCCAGGCAGCACTTGTAAGGTTTAGGTCTCTCACATAGTGTGAAAGTGGTGTGCACCATCCAGGGTTCGAGAGCTGCCTCCACTCGGTCTTCGCACTCTGCCAAGTGGTTTGCGTTCCAACGCTGGTGTCTGGACCAGGGGTTGGATCCGCTGCCTGGGGCACTTTTGTTAGACCAGCTGCTGATGTACAGAGGGCTGGTGTTCAGTACAGTGAAGACCTACGGCCCTGCCATTTCATCCTGTCATTAAGGGTTTGGTGACAGGACGGTGTTCACTCACTCGCTGGTGAAGCGTTTCCTGAAAGGGATGTGGAGACAGGCAGGTGTCATGCCCTGTTGCTCCTCAGTGGGATTTGGAGCTGGTTTTATGCGCTTTGACCAAAGCCCCTATTTGTGCTTCTGGAGACGGCGGACCTGAAGCTCCTCTCAGGCCACCTTGCGAGGGTGATTATCCTCACAGGCTTCTTCCCTCCTCCCCACAGGTTGGAGGAAGAGACTACATCATACCTTCTCTGCCCGGTGCGTGCACTGTCCTGCTATGTGGCGCGCATGGCCAACTGACGCCGCTCTCAGTGCTTGCCTGTGCACTACAGGGAGCTGGTGAGTGAAACTGTTCACCTGCTCCACCTCAGCTCCACTGATGTAGACAGGACTGTGTGTCCTTATCTCCTTCTTCCTGAAATCAACGATCAGCTCCTTGGTTTTACTGACGTTGAGCAGCAGGTTGTTCTCTGAGCACCACTCTACAAGAATATCAATTTCCTCCCGATATGAAGTCTCATCGATGTTTGAAACCCGGCCGATGATGGTGGTGTCATCCACAAACTTCACAACAGAGTTCTCTCCATGTCGGGGGATGCAGTCGTGGGTGTACAGCGTAAACAGGAGGGGGGGCTGTGCACACAGCCCTGGGGGGCTCCGGTGTTGAGCACTACAATGGAGGAGGTGAGTCCGCCAATCCGAACTGACTGGGGTCTGTTTGTGAGGAAGTCCAATATCCAATTGCAGAGTGTTGTATTTAAACCCAGAGTGCTGAGTTTGTTGATCAGTTTCATGGGGAGATTGTGTTGAATTCTCAAGGTGTGTGAGGGCTGAGTGAAGGGCAGTGGTAGTTGTTCAGAATAGACACTGCAGACTTTTTAGATCCAGGATTGATGGTGGTTGTCTTGAAGCAGGTGGGAACCCTCTCCTGAGACAGTGAGATGTTGAAAGTGTCAGTAATAACATCAACTAGCTGACTGGCTCAGGTTTTTAGTACACGGTCAGGGATGTTATCAGTCAGCTGATTTACTCATATTCACTCTCAGCAGGACTCTCCTCACATCTGCTGTGATACTGACAGGGGCTGGTCCTCTGGAGGTGGAGTAGACTTTACAACTGACTCCTTGTTGAGGAGATCAAAGCGAGCACAAAAGGTGTTTAGTTCATCTGGTAATGTGGCCTCACACATGATAGGGGGGCTCCTGCTTTTTTAGCCTGTGATGTTTAGATTGCCTGCCACATATCTTTGGTTGTGTTGGTGTTGAGGTCTCTCTCCAGTCTCTGCTGATGTCTCCGCTTCGCCTCCTTGATGCCAGCTTTCAGTCTCTCTGGCAGTGTTGCAAGCTTGTTTATCAGCTGAATGAAAAGCAGGTCGCTTTCTGGTTGGGGAATGATTTTATCGCTTTAGTGATCACCACATCATCAAAACATTTACTGATGTATGTCACTGATGATGTATATTTATAGGTTGATGTGGCCTCTCTGAACATGTGCCAGTCTGTGCACTCAGTCCCGTAGAGCTGCTTTAGCCTCATCTGTCCACACTTGGGACAAGCTGGGTGTAAGTGGGCAGAAGAAGCAGAGAAATGTAGTCTGATAAACCAAAATGGGGACGAGGGAGGGCTTTGTGGCTGCCAGGAATATTGGTGTAGACGTGGTCCAGTGTGTTTGTTACTCTGGTGGACATGCTGGTGAATATTAGGTAAAACAGTTCTGAGATCTTTTTGATTAAAATCACTAGCAACAATAAAAACACCTTCAGGTTGTTTTGTCATGTGACTGCTGATGACCTCATACAATTCTTGTAGTGCCTTTTAACAGAAGACACATCGTTACCCATTAAGACCAAAAAGAGTCTCTTTCACAAATATGACACAAACTAGTCTGCTGATGAGGATAGAATGATCAGCTGTATCAAAGGCAGCTTTTATCTGAGAAGTAAGTGGTTTCTTTTCTGATTGAGCAAAGTCGAGAAAATGGACAAGTTTTCTCCATTCGGCCCCCCCAGCAGTCTTACTGCAACAAATAGCATAATTTATCCACGGGGATGATTTCATTTCTACAGCCGACCTGGTTGTAGTAGGGCAATAGCATCTATAGCCAAGGAACACCGGTTACTGAAACTGGTGACCATGTTACAAGGTTGAATTGGGCTGTTATATACTGTATCTCACGAAGGTGAGTACACTTTTGTGAGATACTGTATCTCACAGGCATAATGGTTAAATGGATTATTGATATGGATATTTAAATCTCCTACAATAATAATTCTATCATGGTTGACGACATGGAGGATAGACAATCAGAAAATTTCAATGTACACAGTGCAGTGGATACGATTCTCCTCTATCCTGGCCAACAGGTAGAGAGGGAGCAATCACCACGTCCTAAAGCATAAACTGCTTCACTGTCTACATTGCTAAATTCATTTTAAAAAAGGGTGCTACTACTTACTATTATACTACTACTATTAACATTTACCTCCAAATAGTTTAGTTGAACAAGAAACATTTTGCAAAAGCCTGATAGCTCATAATACAACCTAACCAAAAGAAAGGCAATATTTTGACTACTTACACAACTGGAAAAACCTTTGGGAAGACCACGCTAGCTTCAGCCAGGTATTCGTACAGAATTCGCTGGTCAAAGTCATCAGTTGTGTATTTGACCTGGGTAGCCTGGAAAAAATCAGAACAGTCTGTTAACAAGACGAGCTAGTAACTAGTAGACAAAAATTAACAGCATTTGATCACTATCCATCATTTCTGAAGACTGTCGGTGTGTTTCCTCACCAGCACAGTGAGCAGCAGAGCTTGGATCTTTGGGTCAGTCAGCACCTCCTCATCCAGCAGAACGTTGGACTCTGATACGGACACCTTGCGTAGGTGAGAGTTTCCAATTCGTTGTGTCTCTGTAATTAATACATGGAGGATTTACATTAAATATCTCCACAAACAAACTTGTTGAAGGAAAGGCCTGGATTGTACTCTCACCTATCTCATAGTCGTTCTCTGCAACACGTCTCATCTTGGGAGGGGTGGTCATACCCGACTCCATCTCTGGTCTCTTCGGTGCTTTAGAGTCTGATATGAGATGATCAAAACTTTTTCTGGTGCCTGCCAAACAAACACAACAAATACAATTACTGTAATGTAATTGGTCAATTTCTGTTTCAAACCCCAACTCCTCCAGAGAAGGCAGGGAGCAAGACACTAATCCCCTAACCACTCCTGATTATGAGTGAATGTATGAATGATTGAATGTTGACATGTGTTTTGAGTGGTTAGTAGACTGAAAATGAACTATGAATAAATGCCATCTTTCCTAAGCACCTTTTAGAGATCAACATCTACTGTACATAGCAAAGAGATAAATCATACCCAGGAGCTTCTTGGTGTTGGCCTGTGAGGGCTGACCCATATCCAGGCTCATGGACTTGCGCGTTCGTGGGCTGATCTGGCCCACTGTAGGGTAGTGATGGGCTGAAAGGTAGCGCTCTGAAACCTGAGGTGACGTCCACGGCTGAGTCTCTCGGAGAGTTCTAAGAGGAAGGTGATTGGACAGAAGACAACTTGATGACAATCGATGATAAATGTAAATGCTCCATATTTGTATAGCGACTTTCTAGTCTTTTCCACCACTCAAAGTGCTTTTACACTACATCCACCATTCACAAACATTCATACACTGAGCCTAAGCTCAAACAGAAACTAATATTCACACACTGGTGGAACAGCCAACAGGGGCAATTCCGGGTTCAGTATTTTGCCCAAGGACAGTTCGAAATGCCGTTTGGAGGAGCCGGGGATTGAACCGCCGACCTTCTTCTGATTAATGGGCAACCCCGTTGATCCATAGCCAGGACCCACTCGGAATATCACTACCTTTTATTCTTACTTTGTTTAAATTACCTATCAAATTGCCTTTACATTTACATTGTTGGGGATTTTGTCAACATATGGCACCACCCTGGAATCAGGGACCAATAACCAAATATGAGCCAAGTATGATCAGTCTAAAGTGGGGTTTGTCCACCTATAGATGGCAAGGGTGAGTCCGTACACTGGCCGTGGCAAACAACTCTTACTACAACATTATACACAAATAATCACAGGCAACGACTTCTTAAAATTATAATAGGATTTATTCAACTCCAGCATACATCAATGACCAACAACTTTAGCAAGTAAATCACTATTAACTCTTCTAAGCAAAATGAAATAAAGCCAATAAACAAATCATACAAACACATACAACAATCCAGCAAGTGTGTGTGTGTGTGGGCGTGTGAGAGACAAAGGAGGGGGGAGAGACTAAGAGAGGGGGGCGGATCCGACCACGTGTGTGGTGCCAGATCCGGTTGTGCTAGAGGCCAGCTGATTTTGGAATCAAGATGGCGGTTCAGACCATGTGATTTCAAGATCAAGATGGCGGAAAATCCCTCTCCCCTGAACTAAAAAAAATGGGGACGCACTCTGATGCTAGCCTGCTGTGGGTCACAGGTCTGGTTAGCTGCAGAGGTCACGTGGTATGTGCATGTGGGATTAGTAAGCAGAAGGAGGAGAGAAAGGCACAAAAGGCACACAAAGCTATATACATACAATATACCACAAACTATCTTACAGCCACCAGCAGTGACTGATTCATTCAGCAGCGGTTGCTGGCTTTTGATTAGATAGAATGTGCAATTATATCTGTTCTCAGACAACAGAAGCCAACACCAAAAATCCTTATTACTGTTGAAAACACTCGGCTACAACTTTATCAATGAGAGGAACATTCAGCAACCGTGTTCCTTGGCTTGATAACAATACTGATACGTTTTCACACAGTAAGAGGAACAAAGCAGTCAGCCCAGTGAGTGGTACTGGACACAAACAACGTGCGTAGCACGGAAAACACACAGCAATTAAACAAGACATGGCGGTCTTTAAATATCCCTTATAACAGAAATTCACCACATGAAGCTTGTACAAGTTACAATAACAAGTTATAGAACTATCTGCTGCCCAGACATACTAAAGCCTCTTCAGTGTCGCTTTGGTAGTGAGTAGATGCGTCTGTTCCTTTTGGAAAATCCAGCAGAGTTTTCTCTCGGCTCGGTTCTGACGATGCCGGTCGGTTCAACGGCACAGCTGATTCTTTGGCGGCAGCAACAGGAATCAGTGAAGTCGACGTTGGTTGAGAAGGTAGAACACGGAGGTGATCTTCTCTCAGTTAAGCACAGTATTTATTCGTCTTCTTCTGCAGGCATGAAATGTTATCTTGTATAACAGTTTTTTTAGGGATCCAAAATTGTGTTGGTAACACAAAGAAAAATAATAGAGGTAAAAAGGAAAGAAGGAAACAGAGTTGCTCGTCCGGCGAGTGAAGTCTGTATTCAGGAACAAAGAAAGTTCAGCGCTGAAATGAAATACCTCCTGTGGCTGCTGGTGCAGTTGCAGAAAGGCAAAGTTTGTTTACCTCCTTACAGTCCTGTGGAGAACTGGGAATGGCGATGAGGGTTTGGAGGTGTTCGCTTTTACACCTACGTTGACAAAATGGCTGTACTTCCTGGGATTACTCCGCCCCCTGAAAGCTTTAGCCAATACAAACCTTTGGTTTGGTTTGGTAGAGTTCACAGCTAGGTGTGATTTAATTGACAGGGCCATCTGGGCTTTCCATTGTTCTCTGACTTGCTTTGTGTAGTCAAGCCGCATGGCAGGCTTTGGGGATTCCAACAGGCCGGGGTCTGGCTTGTAGGACATCAGAAGGCCCAGTCTTTGTTCTATCAGACTGTGAGGCCCAACATCATGAAGGTTACTGACATCCCATTCTTAATCCGTAGGGTTTAATATGGAGTTGGCCAACCCTCTGCAGCTTTAACAGCTTCAACTCTTCTGGGAAGGCTGTCCACAAGGTTTAGGAGTGTGTTTATGGGAATGTTAGACCATTCTTCTAGAAGTGCATTTGTCAGGCACAGATGTTGGACAAGAAGGTCTGGCTCACAGTCTCCGCTCTAATTCATCCCAAAGGTGTTCTGTCGGTTTGGGGTCAGGATTCCGTGCAGGCCAGTCAAGTTCTCCACACCAAACTCGCTCATCCATGTCTTAATGGAAATTGCTTTGTGCACTGGTGTGCAGTATTTTTGGAACAGGAAGGGGCCATCCCCAAACTGTTTCCACAATGTTGGGAGCATGAAATTGTCCAAAATGTCTTGGTATGCTGAAGCATTAACAGTTCCTTTCACTGGAACTAAGGGGCCAAGCCGTGCTCGGTCATGGAAACCCATTTCATGAAGCTCTCTACGTACTGTTCTTGAGCTAATCTGAAGGCCACACAACGTTTAGAGGTCTGTAGCTATTGACTCTGCAGAAAGTTGGCGACTTCTGCGCACAGTGTTCCTCAGCATGCGCTGACCCCGCTCTTGTTATAACACTAACAATTGACCGTGGAATATTTAGTGAGGAAATTTCACAAATAGACTTATTACACAGGTGGTAACCTATCACAATACCACTCATGAATTCACTGAGCTCCTGGGAGCAACCTATTCATTCACAAATGTTTGTAGAAGCAGTCTGCATGCCTATGTGCTTGGTTTATACACCTGTGGCCATGGAAGTTAATGAAACACCTAAATTAAATGATTTGGAGGGGTGTCCTAAAACTTTTGGCAGTATAGTGTATATCTACAGTATGTCACAAAAGTGTGTACACCCCTCACATTTTTGTAAATATCTGATATCTTTTCATGTGACAACACTGAAGAAATGACAATACAATGTAAAGTACCCCACAAATGCTCAACAGGGTTCAGGTCTGGAGACATGCTTGGCCAGTCCATCACCTTTACCCTCAGCTACTTTTGCAAGGCAGTGGTCGTCTTGGAGGTGTGTTTGGGGTCGTTATTGTGTTGGAATACTGACCTGCGGCCCAGTCTCTAAAGAGAGGGGATCATGCTCTGCTTCAGTATGTCACAGAACATGTTGGTATTCATGGTTCAGTCAATGAAATACTTCTTGCCAGAATTGAGCTTAGGACACAACCAGAATATATGAGTCTGATTTGCAGTTTGTATTCCACAGTCCCTCCAGCATGAACTGGTGATTATTAGGGCCAGAGCATGAAACATGCGAGGTCCCTATTTTTTTTCCCTGCAAAGTCAGCTTGTTTTTGGGGGCCTAAAAATGTGCAAAAACTCATCAAACTTTGCACACAGGTCAGAAGTGGCGAAAATGACCCCAAATGGCTCGCTTACGTCACCTACAAAATTGGAAAAAGTTTGCCCGGCAACGTTCAACCTACATGCACGAAATGTTTTGGGGACATGTATCATACCACGACACACCAAAAAGCCTCAAGGACCCATACCCTTAATTCAACAGAAGTCAGCCATTTTGAATTGAAAGTGCAATTTTAACCCATTGATACCATTTACAGGCTGCATATTTTAACAAACTCCTCCATTTTCACTGTGCATTCTAAACCCATTGACGATTAAAAGTTGTACAAATGGTCGTCTTCTTCTTTCTTCCATGAGCGTGCCCGTGGAGTGGCGTCGAAAATCGACAACTCCCCACAAAACAGGAAGTTGTTATAACTTCAGTGTAGATGCTCACATCTGTACCAGATTTGACATGTATAATAATACTCCCGCCCTGAACACATCCATATGCCAACATTCACTCAAAGTCATAGCGCCATCTGCTGGCAACAGAAAATGACACGTTTTACGCTGTAATGTACTACTCCTAGTAGGTTGGCCATATCAACTTCAAAACTGGCCAAGAAAACCCTTAACACATTGATGAAGCCATGTTGTAAATCTTGGCGTGGCGGTAAAGTTACACCTTTCGCCATGATACAGGAAGTTGTTGCAACATTACTGTACATGCTCAGATCTGTACCAAGTTTTAAACGTTTAATAACAGTCGCACATGTATATGCCAACATTCACCCACAGTCATAACACCACCTGCTGGCAACAGAAAGTGACCTTCAACGAAGCAGCCCCAGCGCCACGTTTCACCTACATGTATGAAGTTTCTGTGGCACGTGTAATATGTCCAGATGTACCAAAAAGCCTCTTATGGTCATTTTTGGATGATTTACACACTCCTCCGTTTGAAGGATGTGGGATGGGTCCAACAGTACCCTCCGCACCTGCCTGAGTACAGACTGCTCATAGACGGACTGAAGGGAGAGCTTTTCAATCCTCCCCATCTCCTTCATAGCAGTCTGTACCAGGCGCCACAACTTTGATTTGGACTGTGTGGAGAGATTGCCGACCCACGCCGTAATCCAAAATAAAAACATGATGTTGGCTGACACCAAACACCCTCAGTCTGTGTTAAAAATAAAGCCTTTGCTGTAAACGGGAACATACGTAATCTACACGATCATTCCAGCTTAAGAGGTTATCCAGGTGGATACCCAGATACCTATAAGAAGTGACCTGTTTGATCTCCTCCCTGTGTGTGCACAGTGGGGTATGATCCCCCACCGACCAAGGGTCAAACGCCATCTCCTCAGTTTTTTTTAGTGTTAATGGTGAGATAG